GCATCCTGCCCACTGAGCCACAGGTGCTGCCCTATCATAATGTTTTCAAAGTTCATCCATGCTGTCACATTATGAGTACTTCATTCTTTTTTTTAGAGACAGAGTCTCACTTTATCGCCCTCAGTAGAGTTCTGTGGCATCACAGCTCACAGCTACCTCCAACTCCTGGGCTTAGGCGATTCTCTTGCCTCAGCCTCCCGCATAGCTGGGACTATAGACGTCTGCCACAACGCCTGGCTATTTTGTTTGTTTATTTGTTTGTTTGTTGTAGTTTGACCAGGGCTGGGCTTGAACCCACTACCTTCCTTGTATTGGGCTGGTGCCCTACCCACTGAACCACAGGTGCCGCCTTTTTGTTTTTTGAGACACAGTCACACAGTCTCACCCTGTCACCCTTGTTAGAGTGCCATGGCATCATAATAGCTCACAGCGACCTCAAATTCTTGGGCTCCAGACATCCTCTTGCCTCAGTTTCCCTAGTAGCTGAGACTATAGGCTTCTGCCACTAGGCACAGCTAGTTTTTTCTATTTTTAGTAGAGACAGGGTCTCAATCTTGCTCAGGCAGGTCTTTAACTTCTGAGCTCAAGCAATCCATTCACCTCAGCATTGCAGAGTGGTAGAATTATAGACTGAGCCACCTGCCCAGCCAAGACCTTATTTTTTTAGACCAGTTTTGAGTTAATGGCAATATTGAGCAAAAGGTACAGATTTCTTACATACCTCCTCCCCCTGCCCCCAACATGCACAGCCTCCTTCATTGTCCACATCCTGCATCAGAGTTGTACATTGGTTGCAGTTGCTGATCCTGCATTGATACAATATCATCCAGAGTCTATAGTTGAAATACATTAGAGTTGGCTTGGCACCTGGAGCACAGTGGTTACGGCACCAGGGTGGCAGGTTTGAATCCAGCCCTGGCCTGCCAACAACAATGACAACTACAACCAAAAATAGCTGGGCATTGTGGCGGGTGCCTATAGTCCCAGCTACTTGGGAGGCTGAGGCAAGAGAATCGCTTGAACCCA